GGGTGTTGGCGCTTTAACTATAAACTGTTTGGTTGGGTGGATGACTAAGAAATTTACGTAATAATAGGAACAATGCGAGTTTAGAGAATATATTGGCTATCACAATTTCACTCCGACTAAATGGCGCCAAAAAAACCGCATTCTTCTTGCGTTATGAAAGAAAGCCACTGAAAAAAGAAACGAGGAGAAGCCAGACACCAAAATTGACTTAATTTCTGTTTGACCAAAACGCCTCCATAATTTGGTTGTTCACCCCCGTCTGTTACTTGCTTTCAAGTAGCAAATTTTGAAGTGAAATAAATTACGTGTTTTTTCGACCATAACTGAGCGGTGAATCGACATTTGAAGAGATTTAACTTTCTATAGGATGCAAATGCCAAAATCTTCACAGTAGACTAAAGAATGAAAGAAGTGGGTCTAAAATATAAAGACAACATGTTCTGTTTGTTTAAAGTAACTAAGGGCACATTTTAGTTTTTTATTGGCCATACCATGATGTCAACGGTTGGGCGTTGGTGAACCTCTCTCCAAAAAACAATGTGTTGTCGGAAAACAAGTCAATGCATCCCTTGAGAATTCCCATTAATTAGTGTTATCTTAACATCAAATCAGCGGCCTTGAAACGGCAGCAAATGGTTCAAAGATCATAGTAATTAATGCAACTTTGTATTTGATAGATCAACCTCTTGCGTTATTCGCAGCACCTCTCCATCCGGTTCATTTAAGCTTGAGGTACGTCTTTGCAATGTTTATTGGGTATTTCCAAAATACTGGCTCCCTCAACTTTCTTTATCTTAGACAGCGGAAATGGATCTTTTCGGTTGACAAATCCCTTCAAATTAGGTATTTAACGTGCCCAGAACTACCGACACTTTTAATCGCTTATACTCACCCATAGCTTAGCAAATGTCGTTCATATTCGATTTAATATTCTATTAGTCAAGTATGAGCCTCTCCGCAAAGCTAACTTTTAATGGAAATTTCTATTTCAAACGAAGAACGTAAGATTCCATCTTTATTTGCTTCTGTGTATATGCAGGTTGCTTAACTCGTCAACACAAAGTATCGTTTCAATAATTATGATGATCAGTTGGCTGTGTTTGAAAAGTTAGCTCTGAAATGTTCCTCAGTCAAGTTGGAAGCGGTCGGTGGTAAATAAGCCGAATGCAGTGATAAAGATAAGATGCTCCATATTTTTCTTCCATCATATCTTTTTATTTTAAGGACGGTTATGCAACATGACTTGCGAAATTGACAAAAGTTTTATTGTCGCTATTCGCATTAGAATTCTGACCTCTCAACGAATTTTCTAGAAGTTTATAAAAATTTATTGAACCAAAGCAATCAAGCACAACAGTCTACAACGGAGGAAGGTAATTTATGGTCCAACTGTCGCCAAAAGGCTTCTTTCCATTGCTTAGGGTCAGCGACGAGAACGAAGAGAAGCAAAAGGTTGTAGCATAAAAATTGCTCAGTACGTTTTCTGGCACTGTTGGAACAGCAAATTTTGTACAACTTGATAGTGGCAACCCAAACCCAAAAATATTCACGTTTCCACTTTTAACCCAATGCTCTATTCCCATGTTATGCCGAAGGAGAGACCTGGCGCCGGTGGAAGTAGTAATTCCGTTGAGCTATTCGCAAAATTCTATGGCGGAACAGTTGAGACTTCCTTTTTAAGGGCGGGACATTTTCTCAGGCATTCGCCGTAATGTCCTCTTAAACTCCCAAATTACTGTTATTACACCTTCATCCAGTCTCATCATAAGAGCAAGGCACGCTGTTTTAGACCATTTTACTCTTAAAAGTGATCACAAGTTGAATTCTCCTTCAAAACTCAATGCTATGACTGTCTAAAATGCTCACACATTTGAATATTCGATACATAAAGTGATGAACACAGATCGTTGCACAAGTCTTCCCAACTCTAGCTTTTTTTTTCTAAAGGAACAAGAACTAATCTTAAACGAAGAGAAAGAAATTCATCTATTGCATTTTGCCTCAATCATCCATAAACAATCCCTAAACAGAATAATAATACTCTGCCCTCAAGCGTCGCCAACAAGATTATATCCATTGATTTAGTGAACCAACGAAGAATATTCACAGACACTTATAAATGCATCAAGCTTAAAAAACAAAACATCACACAACATGTCTTTGTCTCCTTTGCAGAGCTTTTGGTTCAGAATTTTAAATACGGTACTGCAAAGGTTTAAACTTTTATGAGACGTTGGGAAATTGGAATCGCACAATTCCAGAAAATCGTTCAAGTAACTTAGGATGAAGAAGACCGAACTCTTTCTACATTAGCAGAATCACCTTACCAGATTGTGGGTCATTTATTCCAATGCAGCAATTCATTGTCTCATTTTTCCTTTCAGACCTTATCCCGGCTTTTCGAGATACGTTGGCAATCATGCGGACCCTTTGTGTTGTCGTCCTTGCATCTATGATTTTCGTGGTGGCGTCACGTGTTCGTTATCCTAAACTACCAGAGTCACTGAGGAAAGGTATAAGGAGTGAAACCATTGATTTTTAATTACCCCCGCCTGGCTACTGCAAATTTCTTCGTAAATAATTTTATCATATTAACTGCAGTATTTTGCAAGGATTTCCAGCTCTGAGAAATGCTGCAACTGCACATGTGTAAAATCACGATAATTTTTCACGTGTGTTTGATATCGCCAATCAGCTGCTGACACGTCACTCGCCTTCCGCGCCATTCAGATGGGTTGATGAATGTTCACCATTCTTCATCCGAGGTCCTTTATCGAAATTTTCATGTCCGTTAAGGCAGGCCCTTGGTATACATATGATAAACAAAATAACACATGTTTGCTTGTAAATATAAAATTCTTTCATCTTGTGTTCAACTCGATATCTCACTCATTTGCTAAGCTCACTCGTGAGACGTTGAGTTAAACACATGAAGACAAATTCCATATTGACATGCGCCTATATTTTATTTTCAAAGTGTAAAAAATGTCGCAATGTCTTCATCCTGGTTTTAAGTGCTTTTGTGGATATCACCTTTTTAATGGAGAAAAGATAGAAATCGTGAAGATAATTTTTCTAAATGTATTTCTTCCCTTACTTTATATTTACAGAACAGATGACCAATTATAAAATAAGAATGGAAGGGAGCGAGGCAAGGAATTTTCTTTTGAAGAGAGAACCTGGTTGTCGTGATGCATGTTGGAAAAACTGCGAAGCTGAAAACGAAAGAGAAGGGTTGCGATCAAGCTGTAGCCATTGCTGTAATTAGCATGAACCCCGACTCTGGATCTAATGAAGCTGTGCGTGACTATATTGCGTTACTCTATTGTGCGAGTTTTTGCGGGATCTGGCTTTAGCGCTGGGACCCGGCGGATGACTACGTTAATTTTTCGCTCAGCTTAGTAGAATCGTTCAGAATTTTGTACGATTTTTATAGTTTAATTAGTGCTATTCATGGCTTCACGGATGTTGATACAATTTTTAAGGTGTGTAAGGGGACTGTTAAGGTATAAGGTCACAGATGTAAGTTTTAGTTCCATTGCAATTTGTTTTCTGCATTTCTGCTTAAATAAATCTTCACTCCACCAGTAATTGTGACTCATCGAAATCCAAGTTTTCGTTTCTTTTGCAATTTAGTTTTTGTTTCCATACACTCTCGAGCATTTTCTTGCCATTTGAAGTTTACTTAAACTCTGTTATAGTTTCGCCGTAAAATCGCATGCTGACCCATATACATTGATATATTTACGACAGTACGTGAATCGTCTCTGTTGTGAGGCCAAGGGATTTAGAGCACTCATCCCCAACTGCTTTTCATATTATTTAAATGAATACTTGCTCATGTTCGAAAATGATCAGGCGCCCCATTGTACGGGGCATGTGTACCGTCCTCGAGCAAGTATTCACGCTTGCAATTGCATTCTCCCCGCGCATTCGATTAAGTCAAAATTGTCCAACACACAGAAAGATTCAGATGGAAACATGTGATTTTCACCACAGAATATCTGCGTAAGAAAAAGCACCAGCAGCCTGCGGCAGAAACGCCATTTTCTTCCACGGACCTTTTCGTTATCAATTCCGTTAAGGGTGTTTTACTCGTTTCTCCGACCACGTGACCAAACGAAACCGGGACTCTCAAGGGGAAAATGCAGGAACATTTTAAAGCATCCTTAAGCGTGCCCATGGGAAAGCTCTCCCCATAGTGCTAAAAAAAACAACTTTAAATGATTGAAGTTGTCCTTCAGTAGCATGTTGATTGGATGGACGATTCAATTGAGGCCTTGAGTTGCTGTATTTCTTTTTTTCCAAAGCTTTCGCCGATCCACTGCATCATTGGGGAATGTAAAGAAAATATTTCACCATGCATGAAATAAAAGCAGTGTAGTTGACACGAACAATTTGAACATATTTTATTCTTATAGATTCCAATCCTAACAAGTTTTGAGTTAACATCGCCACAATTGGCCAACTCATATATTCTAATTAATCGTATCACTTACGTCGCTTTTATATCACGCATAGTAAAACGTTTTCTTTACACTCAGTGACGATGGCGTAGATCGGCAAAGCTTGGAATAATAAAGAAATACAGCAGCTCAAGGCCTCAATCGAATCGTCCTTGTAACTCTTTACACCCTAACATCAGTATGCATATTCTCCATACTGTTCTCTATACATTTCCTAAGATGTTGACAAGGAGAATTTGTTGAACAATCCAGAGCCTCTCCAGTTGGTGATCATTGCCTTTATTCTCGTGACCTTAATCTGTGATTCTGGGGTGATATTTAAAGGAGAAATTAAATTCTGGTCACTCTTAAGGGTGAAAAGGTTAAAGATCTGTAACTTGGTTTAGATCATTTTGAAGGACGTTCCACGTCTGTTGTTGGTGAAAATGATGGAGATAACAGGGCAAAAACACACCAACCTCCTCACGAAGTTGGAAGGGACGGTATGGTATTGACGAGACGTGAGAAATCTATCTCAGTATCCAAAGGAAATTGCAAATCTAAAAAATCACATTCAAGTAAGACGTTAATCACTCAGATTTTATCAAATTAAGTCATACTCTAGGTTAGAGCCTGCCATGCAGAAGTGAATTGATGCTCTTTTGAAACCAAAGTCATTTTATCATGAACCATTTTTAGATGTAACAAGCAAACATTGCATAAACCCCCTTTAACTACAGCTATTCTGTTTTCAATCTTCGCGCCTGTTGAATAAACTACGTTCACACACTTATACACACTGTGAGTTACAAAGTCGAAAGCAAAGAAACTCCGTGAATCCTTGGTATTTCCACGATACCAGGTCTGCGGAACAAAACCTAAAAGAATCATTAAGTGCATAATTAGCGGATGTGCTAATTAACTTTAATGTTTTCTTGCATTCTCGTGATTTACGATGCCACCTGCTCAGAATTTGCGAAGATTACTTTCCTGAAGGTAGTTCTTGTTGTACCTGGTATTTCTCAATCAATTAAAAAAGACTTAAATTATCAAACTTTGGCTGATCATTGAATCTAATCCCCGATACCAAAAACTGATGTTTAGCAATGGCTAAGATTAATTATCGTCTTGCGAGCGGTGAATTTTAGAATAAAGCGCTTCTATAGTAGTCCTCACAGTTTTTATTCTAGAATTACATTGTAGCTAGAGTGCCTTGTAGAGCGCCATCATTGTTCGCAAGCCAATGCAATTACGCCGGATGCCCGATTAGCGTGGGGGAAAATATCACATGACCCCTGGGGAATTCAGAGTGAATACATACATACTGGGGTAATTTGTTATAGTCAACTGAGTTGATACCGGAAATTGGCCATCTTAAAGAGTTAAAAAGTTGACGTTTCGAGCGTTAGCTCTTTGAGGATTGTGGCTGTTTCGCGATGATCACCCTGTAAGGCTCTGTAATATTATCATGATCTCCCTCATTTGCTGTCAGGTTCTATGGTTCACCTTTCACCTTTCACCTTTAAACTCTGTTGGCGATGATTGGTCCTCCCTCCTTTTCCCTAAATACCATGTTATCCCCTTACCCCCCCAAGGATCCTCCACGTCTCCCCCTAAAAACTATTCATCCTTCTCATTTCCTCCCCACCATCCCCTAATGTGATAGATATTGACAGCTACCTCAATTGGAAAAGGCCATTTTACAGGTGTGAATTTAGTTTCAAAGCTTTTAATTTGGAGTGAGGCTGAAGGTGATCTTGTTGTGACAGAGACCAGTATCTACTTAGCATGATAACAAAGTAATCTGCGTTTGAAAAGCAGCAAGGTTAGTATCATAACAAGGTCAACCTTAGCCTATTTAAAGGCTTGGCAACCAAGCACACAACTGTAAAATGGACTATTAAGTGAAAAGGAAGCATTACCTAAAATATTTGGGTACATATTATTCACAGCAATGGTTGCAGTCTGTCGCCTCACCAGCTTCCACTTCTTCCTCACAATTGTCATAACACACGTCGTTGCAAGCTGGGTCTCTCTTAAAATCCCTTATCTCTTTGCCTTTCATTTCTATCCCAAGATCGGCCAGCTTTTCTGTAAAAGGAAGCAAGGGAAGTTACGTATAAAATGAATTTGGCGATCGAGGGATTTTAAGGACAATTTTTACGGCAATCACGTAAAGTAAAAATATATTAATAGAACTGTCATAGAACAGAGTTGACTCAGATTGGGCTTGTAATAAATGAGCCCTTGAAAGAGCGTTCTATAGTTAAGGAGGTTGTAATAATGATTAGCTTAATCCTACGAAAATGGGGCTTGATATAAAGGTCGTGTCTCAAGCTAACTCATGGATTAGTTGGCTTCTTTTTTCTTTGATTTTATAGCTACGTGTTTTACGTTAGCTCTTCCTAAAAATCTGCGCTCCAATTGTTAACAGTAAGAAAACAATGTAAGAACCGAGTTGATCTGTAGCCGCACGTCGAATGATGGACAAAATAAGAAGACCCATTAAATACCAATTAGTCATAACTAGGATAAAATCTGAGGAACGAAGCATCATCATTTAAACGTACTTGTGAATAAGAACAGGACCTAGTAGTATGGAAACTGATAAGGGACAATCACAAGATATTTTGCAAATCCCAAGTTTTACATTTTTTATATCGATTGTTCTCAAAGATTTTTCCACCATGAAAAATACTGATCTTCATAAAATATTCTTTAATCGCGAGAAAAACTATGAAAATCAAGAAACTGTTTTTGAAATTGCAAGGAATATTTTTTGTTGTAATATGCTTACAACACAGTCAATACGCAAACAAGGATTCTGATTCGTATAAGGACTACGCTATATGGGCTGAACCAGGGAATGAAACTTCAGGAAAAAAATTGATTTAGAGGAAAGATTTTAAAATCAGTGCGAAGATATCTAAAGCGGAAGCAAGTAAAATTATGAACCTCGCATGTGGGGAATTGCTAATTCTAGCAAAAAAAAATTCGACCAAAGCATTATAACTAACTAAACCGCCACTGCGGAGAAATGTCCGCCCTCAAGGAAATTCAAAAAAGGTAGTTTAAGTTTTCATATTGTAATTTAGATTATCACTGTAATCCTGCTTATGGAGAATGTCAGTCACAGCAGTTCTTACTGCATGATACCTTTGAGCGGCGATAAGGGTATTTTCGGATGACGAGCGCGTGACATCACCACGACCACCAAAGCTGCGAGTATGACAACATAAAGGGTCTTCATGATATCAGTGGTACCGTAGGTGAGATTCGGTGAGAAGTCTAAGAGGAATGAAAACAAATAACTTCATTGCATTCAAAACAAACACAATAGACTACTTGCAACAGGTCTTAGATTAATTCTGTAATTGATAAACTTGCCCCTCCTTTTAGAATCGTTGCTAGGGACGCAAGCTGGAATATTCGAAGCCACCACTAACAAAAGTTAATTGAAGAGAAAGAGAGGACAGGTATCTTTTTGAACAAATCATTTTAATTTGGAAGGCGACTGCCTATGAGAAGATTACTTTCTATTGGTCTCAACGTCTTAACTATTTTGCAGTTCGATAAAGGGGGTAAGTTTCTGAGGAAACTGTGGTGCTGCGTCGGTAGGAGAGTATAACAGGGATATTTAGTTTTATCAACTCAGTTGATAACGTAAATTGGCCACCGTGAAGAGTTTAAAAGCTGAGTTCAAGGAACTTTTAAGAAATCATGATTTCAGATCAATAAGCACTCACGAGATTGTTCTAATTTGCTTCAATCGAGTTTGCATTGAAAAAATTCATGCTCATAGCTCCGAAATAAAAGTAATAGAGTCTTGAGCTTTTATGTTTTATTTTACTAAGTTAGATTATGTGAAAATACTCTAGAGGGCTGTTTATTTTGATTTCCTCTTTTTCACATGTATATGTACTTATCATTAACAAAAGATGAACAATGGAATTCTCTTGGGATCCTCAATATGAAAGCAAAATATACAGGCTAAAGAGGTCTACTGTTGGTTTGCTCATAAATTTCAGGACGTGACTAACTCTTCGCCATCCAAACACTATCGTTTTTCAGTCGTCCGACAATGAACCTGCATGTTTTTAGACTGGTTGATTCGTTTTGTTCATTCCGCCGTAAATGGATGATTTTAAATCCTTATGGGCCTGTTATTCAATTTATTTAAGAATTCCGATGAAATCCCATCTTATGCAAGATCTTCATGCTCTTTGTGTATCCTAACAATATGCTTTTTTGTGCACCTTTAAATAAGCCGTTTGTTAATATCTGCAGAAATCAGAGATGATTTTTGTACGATGAAATCACGTAGTGGAAAATAGAGTCTTACCTGCAGGAATTCGTCAGCTCAAGCAAAGTTGAAATGACTGATAACTTTGGGTGTTAGGAGATAAATGGCTCAGTTCGGTTAATTATTAAGATATTTAAATAACAATAAGAACAATTCAGGTCAAGAGAACAGATTCCATAGCATGATTTCATCACGAATGAACGTTGTGCAAAAATAGAAATTGCATTCTTGTATTGCGACAGAAAACTGTTGTCACAGAGAGAAGCCTGAAACCAAAATTGCGTTAATATCTGATATCTGGCCAAAATGGCTTCATCATGGGAAGATTTCCTTATAAAACCTATTCTATTCTAAAACAAAGCTGTTGCCCTGAAATTATTCAATTTTATCTTTTGAGTTGATAATTTAAATTGCCAACCGTAAGGAGTTTTTAAAGGTGATGTTTCGAGCGTTCACCCTTCGTCAGGGCGAAGGCCTACGCTCGAAATGTCACTTTTAGAAAAATTCTTACCTGCAGGGAGTCGTCAGCACAGGCAAAGTTCAAATGACTTATTGCCTTTGGCACTGGCTTATAGAATGTTTGGTTCGGTCAGTGACTTAAGAGATTTACTCAATGCCATTAAATAAATTTCTTAATGGATAGGAACAATGGAAGTTTGAAGAACGGATTGGCTTTCCAGACTTCATTATAAACAAATGGCTTCAATTCGCATTCCTCTTGTATCAGACAGACCCTCTAAAAAACCGAAACGAACTGCCAGACACCAAAATTGACTCAATTTCTGATATTGAGCCAAAAAATGGCTCCATAACTTAATTGTTCAGCCCCATAACTGAGCACTGAATTGACACTTGGATAGATAAAACATTCTTAGAAAATGCCGATATTATGCTGAAATCTGCATAGCTTAACAAATAAATAAAAAAATTAATTAAAGGGCTTTGAAAAATATGACGTCATCGTATTCTGAACGTCTAAAAGTATTTAAGAGTAAACAGTAGTTGTTTATCTACCAGCCACGTCAAAGTGGGGTGTTCGTGAATTTTGTCCCATAAAGTAATGTAACAGTCTTAGCCCTCTCAGTAAATGAGCTCAATACACTCACTTGTGCTCCCAGTGAGAGAAGTAATCTGTTTAAATCCAATAGTCTACGCGGATAATAGATGCTTTGTAGTTTTTGAAGTTTTAGCAATCTTGAATCAAATACCCTAAGGACTTGGTAAAAATTCCTGAAGAACACTGCATCCTTGACATCATGATTGTCCTCTATCGTGTTTCTGCTTTAATCATAGACTTCCGAATGACCTGATCTTTTCGAACAAAAGCCGTTTGCTAATCCCTGCAAAAATCCTGTGCAATTTTAATGGAAGATAAACGCACGCAGTAAAAAAAATAAAAAGACTGACCTGCAGTGAGTCATCAGCACAGGCAAAGTTCAGCTGAATTGCCTTAATTTCTGATATTGGGCCTAAATAGCTTTAGTAACTTATCATTATTACGCTGATATTATTGAGATTCTCAATGGGTTTAACCGATAGACGTAATATGGCCAAAAAACATTAATTAGCAGTGAGGAGTAAAAGTTGACAAATTTCACAAGTTCTGATGCTTCATATTCGCAAAATAGCTGCTGCAAATTTCCTTAAAAATTTTTGTCGCAAGGACCTGCTCTTCCTTCTAAGTTCGTTTCATATCGCAACATTCAATGTAAAATTAGGTGACCTTTCCACCATAACTTAGTAGAGGATTGAAATTTGCAAGGATTAACTTTTGATATGATACAATTCAAAAACCAAACGAACTAATGAAAGGAAGAGCTTCAGAATGAAAAGACCTCATTCTTTGTTTGTCGGCCATCCTTATAAAGTGCAACGTCGGTGAACTTTGCTCAATAAATAAATGTCATTGCTCTGTAAAAAGATGGAATCAAATCACTCGTTGTTGTGGAGAGAGCATTTTTCTTCGTTAAACTGTCTGCACGAAGAATGAATCCTCTGTTACTTGTGAAGTTTAAGCGAGGATTCTACGTTCCATCGACCTTGAAAATATTGTTGAAGAACACTGTATCGGCGACACCTTTGTCCTTTATCATGTAATTACATAATTTAGACCGAACTTTGTTAAGAGCAACTGAAATTACTATTAACCAAGCAGGGCACAAGAAAAGATGGGTTCTGTTCTCGAGTGACTCGTCCACCTCTATAAAAAACGTCAAGTAAGAAATGGCTATCGTGGGTAGACTTTGTGTTGTCATAATTACGGTTATGATATTCTTGGTAAGGTCACGTGTTTGTTATCCTAGACGACCAGAGTCGCTGTGGAGAAGTACATTCAGTTCAACCTTTGTCAGTTCTTTTAACCCTTTAACTCCCAAGATCTCATTAGTAATTCTCCTTACTGTTTGCCAAACGATTCTCATAACTTTACTTTGGAGAATTTGTACTGGATCAATTAGTAATCCCATAATTGATATTTTTCTTCATTCTCATCACTTTTCTGCTTGATATTGTATCGATATTGTGGGGAGAAATTCTGTCTTGGTCACTTACGGAAGTTAAAGGTTAACTCGCAAGTTCTAATGATTTATTTTGTCCAAACTAGCTGCTCCAGTTATTTTTCTGAACTATTCCGGAAATATAGTGTCATATAAAATGTATTTCCTTTACTTGTTATGGTTGTTTGCCCGCATCACCCTTTTCCTGAAGAAAGGATAAAGATTATGAAATGAGAAATGATGAGAGGAAGGAGATGAATTTTCTTTTAAAAAGATAACATCGAAGTAGTCGTGTATGTTGGAATAACTGCTAACAAGAGAAGGCTGCCATAGTTTATTCAAATTAAGTTAAACTCTATAACAATTGATACAAAGAGCCTACAGTGTGGAATTGAATTACTTCCTTTGAAATCAAAGTTATTTTATCTTCAAATACTTTTAGATATAACATGCATACGTTGCACTGAACCCCTTATTTACAGCTAATTTGTTTTCAAATCCCTAACATTCCATTAAGCAGACTGCATTCATACACTAGTACACTACATGCTCATAGCAAAGAAATCCCTTGCGTCCTTAGTGCATCTATGATACTAGATCTGCGGCACAGAACCTGAACTCGAATCATAAAGTGGATAATCTGTGAATATGAAAATTCCCATTTTTTTTTTGTATATTTAAGGGATTTACAGGGTACCCCTCTAAGCATTTGTTTGGATATTCGTTTCTTAATGTTAGTCTTTGCGATGCTCTACTCCTCAATCAATTAGAAAAGTCTCGAATAAATAAACTTTTCCAAGTAATGTACCATTCATATCAAAGCTTACAACATGTTTTATCTGTTACGCTGCTTTGCTGAACGCGGTTTGAATTAGGTTTCTTCATAGAAGCTGCTTAAACCGATGTTTGTCGACTTCTTATTAAGCACTTTGAAAATACAAGTTCAGTTCAGAATTTTAGTCCTCTGTTTCCGATTTTTATTCAGTTAAACCCAGTTTATCGAAATATGTTTTGCTGGTGTAAATAAGACATAAGATTATAAACTGTTTTGTACTTCCTATTCCCAAATAAAATACATATCTTATTAGTCTATCTCAAATATTTACATTTGAGTTGAATTCAAATTTTTCAAGATCTAATAACCCACACCTTTTCAGATAACTTTAGATATTTGTTATGAACTACCGGGTGGTTCGTAATCACAAAATTTTAAGACTTATAAGGCGTGACAATCCTTCATGTCCTTCATACAATTCTCCCAGCCGAAGGATTACAATGTGTGAGTTTCACCATACTTAAGTAAAAATAAACTTACTAAAAGCTTCCTTGGAGTTGAGGCACTTGCTATTTGCAGCAATGTTGGCAGCTATTTGTACGACCAGCAATAAGTTCTTTGGAGCAGTTTCTCCAACGGGCCAAGTTATAAATTGGGGTCTCTCTTGAAAAGAAAACTCTTTGCCTTCTTGATATCCATTTTTATTTCGGGATCGGA